TGAATTTAGCTGTATGTTCATTAAAAAACAAGAAATAATGTAAGAAAAGAATCAACTTTGTTAGCACTGAAAATGTAGGAAAAATTCTTAGGAATACATTTGACAATATATGTGTGAGATATATACACTGAAAATTATAACATTGCTGAGAGGACAAAGACCTAAATATATAAACAAATGTTCTATGTTCATAAAATGAACATTTCAATGTTGATGTCAGTGATCTCCAAATTGATCTATAAACTCAATGCAATCATACTGAAAATCCAAGGAGGTTTATTTTTTTGCAGAAATTAATCAATTCTAAAATTTATATGAAATTACAAAGAACATAGAATGGCTAAAATTATTTTTAAAAAGAGGAAGAAAATTGGAGAATATTTGCCAGATTTCCAATCTTACTATAATGCTACCATAATCGAGACACTGTGTTGGAATAAAGATGTAACTTACAGTTCGATGCAACAGAATAGAGAATTGAGAAATTGACCTATATAAATATGTGTATTTACTTTTTAATAAATACACAAAGCTTTCCAATGGGGGGAAGAATAGTACTTTTATCATATAATTCTGGAACAATTAGCTATTTATCAGAAAAAATAATGAACCTTAACTCTTAATACACACACAATCTTAATATTTTTCTAGGATCTATCTATACAATATGTTCAAAAATAATACAGAAAAACTTCTTCATAATCTTGCAATTGAAAAAGATTTCTTAAATGATATGAATTAAGCAAATTTTAGGAAAAAATGATAAATAAAATACCTCTGTGATTCAAAGACATATGAAAGTGAGATAAAATACATAATGTATATATATATGTATTACATACACACACACACACACACACACACATATATATATGTGTGTATATATATATATATATATATACATGACAAAGAACTTGTATCCAGGGTACAATAACTCAGTCATAATTTAAAAACCAAGTCACAAATGTGCAAAATGTTTGAAAAGGCATTTCACAAAAGAAAACATATAACTACTCAGTAAGCAAATTATGCTGTGCTCAATATAATTTGTCATTAGGGAAATGCAAGTTAAAACTACAACTAGATACATAAGCACTATAATAGCTAAATTTAAATGATTGACAATATTAAATGTTGGAAAGGATATGGATCAACTAAAACTCATATTATCACTGATGTGAATTTAAAATCATACAATCACCTTGGAAAATAGTTTGCCAGTATTTTATAAAGTACAATGCTGCAAAGTACATACTATAACACAATCATGGTATAATGCAGCAATATCACATCTTGGTATTTGCCAAGAGAAATTAAACATATATTCAAAGAAATTCTCCTGTATGACTTCTTATAGCAGCTTTATTCATAATAGTCTCAAGCTGGAAACAATCTAAATGTTCATCAATAAGTGAATAAATTAACAAATGATGGTAACTCTATGCAATAGAACACTGCTAAGCAATAAAAGAAACAAACCACTGATAAATGTAACAACCTAAATAAAACCTGAAGCTGTGTGACTGCAAAGGGGCCCAAGGTAATTTTTGGGATTCTGAAAATATTTTACTTTTTGATAACAGAATGGTAGCAATTGGGAGTATATGTTTGTCAACACATATCAAACTTTACGCTGAATATTTATTTTATGTAATTCAATATAGTTAATTAAAAGATTAAAAAATAACTTTACCTATAAATTTTTAATTGGTGACACTTTTATATCACACTTTCATTTTCATGGTACATACAATAAAACTAGAATAAAATAGTGTTTACCACAGACACATATTTATGAATTTTGGCATAAACAGCATTAATGATATATAAAAAATTATTTGACTATAAATAATTTACATTTCATTTGGTTATATAAGCTATGTATACTTTTTTCCTGTTTATTTATGTATTGTTTAATTTTTGTTTTTAAGGTCTAAAGCCACAGAAAAATATATCAAGTATCACAAATGCAAAATTTAAAAATGTGTCAAATTAGTCATATATCTAATCATTGTCATTAAAGTCAACAGCACTTAGTTTGACAAAAGAAAGATGAGAAAACTTTATTTAGCCTAGTCCACAAAGTTATAATATAGTTATGTCTTAGAGAAATATAAAATAAGATTACTTATATAGATTTTGGGAATTCTATTCCAAATAAAAAGAAAGTTCATGAGAAATTGGGGTAAAGATGAAAGTAATTTTCCTCTCGATTCATATATATTGCCAATATTAGCTAGTTATGTGAACTTATATTTTCAAAATAAATTATTCTTACACCAGAATCAAATAGCTATTTCACAGCCTTAATTAAATGCATCTGTATTAATTCTTACCTGAAAACCAAAATTGTATTTCAAAGCCCAAGTTTGACTGTATAAAACCATGAGTTTCCATATATTTGTTTATTTAATATTTCTTTTAGTCTATTGCCTCATTCAGATGATGACTGATGACTTGGGTAACAAATGAAATGGTAAAGTATCAGGTCCAACATAATTTGAGAAAAACAAAAAGAATTAAGATACAGGCTCTAAAGAAAGGAAGTTATTTAACCTTGGCTTCATTTTCCTTTGTCCTTCACTAAACATGAGAGAGCCAGAGGTTTCCATGCTATTCCCAAACCAGCTTGGAGAGCAAATAGGGCATTGAAAAGTGTCAAAATAAAAAGAAAAACACATACTACAGTGATAATTACCATCTTGTTAAAACACAGCATAATGAAGTTCCAATTTGGTCTGTAGCTTTTGTTCCATAAAATGACAGTTAAACCACCCTAAAAGGACTGATTCACATGCTACTGCATTTAATATTATACTAATGTATTTTCAGAACAAAAATAATTAAAATACTTAAGTTACCCAAAAAAATTGCCCTACGAAAAATTCCACTAGGACTTTTAAAAATAAATAAATAATAAAATAATAACAAATTATAAATTATTTATAATAATTAACAATAATAAATAATACAATAATAATTAAAGTATGGTATCTATAATTTAGTTATCTATCCCTGCTTGCTTTATTTAGTTAAGTTTGAAAATTAAAGTGGAAATGTCAATGAAGAGTTTCTAAAACTTTAATAATATAAATAATTATTGTGAAATTAATAGTTACCCATGTCATATTACTCTTGAAAGTTAAATATTAAGTATTAATGTGGAAGAATTAAATGACAGAAACAATTTACATGTAAGTTAAAGTATCTGCTACCAGAAAGGATTACAATCACAAACACAACTTATTTTCCTTGATCTTCTATTGACTTGTTAAGTAATATAAATTTAAGCACATTATTCTGCATATTTATTATTTTGTAATTTACAGAAACAGAGCCATAATATAAAGTTTAAAACATTAAACTATTTTTGGAATTATGTAATAAATATTTGAATTAAAATTAACATGCATGTTAGAGAAATTTAATAACATGTACATGAATATTGGTTGCTTTTCTGAATGTGAAATTTAAAAGTAATCCAAATCAAACCAATAAAATATGCATTTTAAATATTCTAAATAATATTATAATGCACTAAGACTAATAAATTTCCAAAATTCTAAAATAATTACATTTAAGTTATAACTTTAAATTTTCTAAAGCCATAGTAATAACTATTCTGGAATGAAATACAGGTTTTATACATAAAGGCACAATATTAACAATGAAAACATGAGCCTGTTTATTTCCCCTTTTCTAGTACAATGCATTATTTGCTAACGAGCTTGACATTTAGCTTTATTTCTCCGGAAATACTAATTTTTATCTCTTTCTGTTATAAAAGCTGATTCATTATATGGATTAATGTGATGCTGAATATAGTATAGTTTGAGGTCACAATAGCATATGACTAAGTTGCTGTTCAGAACTTTCTGAGCATTCAGAAACGTTATGCATTGTATAAGCAATATATTCATTTGCAATTTGGTCTTTGCTTTGCTATGCATGAACTTAGTTTCCTGTGTCATACAAATGCATCGCCAGTATTGGTATTGAAATTATTCCTAGATTCCAGGGTTTATGTTGATTAGCCTACTAGGAGAGTTTTTGTTTCTTGGAGGAATTGCACAGCTGGAAAAAAATGCAATAAGGAAATTAGCAAAATAAGAAACTTCTTTAGAATTTACGTTTATCCCTGCAATACTATTTTGACACCAAGTAGGAAGAAAGTAAGAGGATATTTAAACTACCGCTCATTATACCCCATTTTCTTTTATTCCTCTAACTCATATTAAATACTAAGCAGATTTTTATATCCTAGTTTTTAATTGAATGTTGGATAAATTATATGTCTCATTTCCACATTATCTTTCCCTTTAAGTTCTAAAAGTTACCTAAAATCAGTAAAATAACATAAAGAAAAGAATATTAGAAAAATTTCACTGCAGAAATGGACTTTAAGTTTCAGTGGTTACTAATGCCTTATTGGAAGACTGAATTGGCCGTTAAGCTTCCTGTCTATTACATTATCTTAATGTAACTGTATAATTTAGGTATCATAATAATGAAAATAGTGGTCTTTGCTCAAATCTACTCAAAACCCCTCTATAAAACAATAGAAAACAAACAAAAAAATGACTATGCTGCTGATGACTAAAATTTTGAATTGTGTGAATTTTGGAGGACTAATACAACTGGATAATTCAAAGCCTTGATAAAAAGTGTTTTCAAAGGAAAGGGTTATATTTTGATGTCCCCTATACTGAAGGTTTGAAAACAAAGTAGTGCTACATGCCACGGGTACAGGTAGGTTTTAGACTGATGGTAGGCTAAAGTAAAAGCTGAATACATACCTGCAAGCAACAAAAAATAAATATGCTTTTAACATCATGCTTTCAGAGTTCCCCAACAAGTGTTGTATTGGACCGAGCGTAGAAAGTTAGCACCAAGACAAAAGTATGCCAGATTGCAGGGTCATTTAGTATGCCGGCGACCACAGAGGACTCACGTCTCTCCAACCTGTGGTGTCAAAAGGAGGGTGCCACGACTTTTTATACCCGAAAAATCACCTTGGGCGTGGGGGTGAGGAGCGGGGATGGGGATGAAAAGGTTTCGGACATTCCAAGGTCCAGGGGATTCTGTAATTCACCTCCTGGGTGGAGACAAGGGTGGGGGGTCTCCAGACATTCCAAGGGCCAGGGGACTTTTGTCATTCTGTTTGTTACTTCAGTGGTTTACAGAAGTCAAGATAAGCATTTGTTTACACACAGATCTTAGTTATCCCGGGCTGCTTATTTTAGTTATTACTAAATAACTAAAGCAAAGGCTAGCAATTCTGGCACAATATCACACAAGTTAACATCTAAAACTGAATCAGTATCCAAAATGCCTGATCATAACTTTTCTATGGGGAAAATTATTATTAAGAACATATCAGATGCCTTAATAATATCTTTAGAGTTAGGCCACAACTCTAGTACATGGTAATATTGTGAGTTATAGAACACTGACAGAAGCCAGAAGCTAATCAAATTATAAAAATAAGGCATATACCATTATCGGGAATAATGTTGGTTCAGCAATAAGAAACATGGGAAATAGTATCCAAAAAACAGACTTTTAGCATTATGGGTAGTATGAAAAAAACTATGGTGAAAAGGGACGTTTGCCACTTTGGGATGCAAATTAGGCACAATTCTTAGAGTGATGAGGCATTTGATGAGAATGATATTCTTAACTAACATAGAATCTGTGTTCCAGGAATTGTTCCAAGTGTTTTTCATGCATAATCCTATTAAATCACATCATCCTATGAAATAGGCCGTATTATTACCTCCATTTGACATATGAGAAAACTAAGAGTGAGATACATTAAGTAGCTTATTCTTGTCATATCACTAGAAGTAGAGCTAGAATTTAATACAGGCAATTTGAAGCCAGAGATTAGAGAACTCAGAACATGATACCCAAAATATGGCATTTTGACATACTGGGTATTTTAAGCTGAAGGAAATTGGTGAAACAACAGAAGCAGAAAGATCATTTTGTTACCTTCTTCTACCTCTCTGTGTGAAAGCAGGCCACAGAGAATTGTTAGACCTACCTCCACTGAAAGTTCGGCATGAGACACTCATGTGAAGGATGTCCTGCCCTATATCCAGAGGAAAGAAATGAAGGCACAGAGATGCCAAGAAGAATTTGAATAGATAGGCCTTGCTAATTTGCCCTGTTTATTGCCATTAAATCATAACTCTTCGTCCAATCATACTTCTATGCAATTGTCTAGTCTTCATCAAATCTAAATTTAAAATAATTTTCCCTGGGTCCTTGGGCCTTTGTTTCTGATAGCTCCTGGATCATGTAAAAATTTGACTAAACAAATGTTATATACCTTTCTTCCATTAGCCTATTTGCTGTAAGGCGTCAGCAATGAGCCTTGTGATGGGTGAGGAAAATAGATTACATTTTCTTCTCTGCAGAGTCTTGTCCATTTTGCAATATTATCTCCTTATGAACCCAATATTTAGTTAAGCCAACTTTGAGAAACAACTTAACCAGAAGCATTGATTGAGGCAAGGATGATGGACTATTTAGTCACACATTTTTAAATAGTAAAATGGCACTCAAATAGGAGCAAGCCCAGGCAGGAAGAGTAGAGTAGTGGATATTCTAGGCAGGTTATGAGTTAAGGAGTCTGGTGGTAAATCATATACCTTTCCAGAAATTTATTTATAGGCAGAATGACCTAGATACTGAGATAATTAGATTCTTCAAATAGAAGGATCTCTTAAAAACATCAGGATAAGATGAGGGATGTAGGGATACAAAATTTAAAAGGCAACTTTTACAGTATAATGATTTTTAAAAAATTAATTACTTGGCAGTCGTTGACATTATGAGAAATTCCAAGAGAACCAAAACATAACCCCTTCCTTTATGTAAACTGTAGTCCAGCTTGATAAAAGACTTATGCATAAAAGTCATGCTAAAACTGCTGATGGTTGGACTATATAATCATAATTGTTCTTAGAATATGGGAAATTCAGTTGTGCTTTCAAGATCTGATATACTGGGTAAAATTTATTCTAAGATAAAGAACATGGTTTACCAAGCCTTTGAGAAGATATGAGTGAAACTTGTCTTACAATACTTTCTCACTTTCAGTACTTCCTCAATATTTCTCCCATTCCGAGATGTTTATCTATCTTTTGCATTCTGTGATGAGATCAACACCACATTGCGTTTTGGCTTTAGGACACAAAAATGCTTGTATATGTTTTAGTATTTTAAATTACAAGGATGGTAAATGTCGTGATTTTTGACACTATAAAACTATGGTTTAGTGATAATTGCCAGTTTACAACATAATTTCCTTATTAATGCCTACTAATTGTCAATTAAGTGCTCATAGAAGATAATTGATTTGAAAACTAAAAATGATGAATGGTTCTTCCTCCTTAGGGTGGAAGTGAGATCATTTACCATGCTATTGGGCTAGGGGGAAGTGCAATATTTAATCAAAGGCCAGTAATAATCTGCAGAGACCTCAAGTTGCTTCAGGTATCAACTGGCATTTACCATCTTTGCCAAAATGTGAATAAACCGCTATAATAGGATTCAGACTGAAGTACATGACAACCACAGCTAGTGATAACTGGTGTTAATTTTTATCAAGTACCTGATAGCTTCTAAGTCTTGACTTTAAATCAGTATTTTAAACAGATAATTGCATGGTTAAAAATTGGGCTTTATTTTTGAAGAATTTATTTTTAGAATAGTTTTATATTTGCAGAAAAATTGGGATGGTGCTAGTTCAGATAGTTTTCATCTACCCCATTCCTAGTTTCCCTTATTATCAATATTGTCCATTACCACAGTATCTTTTATAATTAATGAACCAATACTAATACATTATTATTAACAAAAGCGCATACCTTATTTAAACATACTTAGCATTTGACCTAATGTCCTTTTTCTGTTCCAGTACTCCATTTGGGAATCCATATTACCTTAATTTTTTTATGTTTCCTTATAGGTTCCTTTAAACTGTGACATTTCATATGAATGTTTCTTATTTTTCTTGACTTTGACAGTTTAGACAATTAATAATGGTCAAGAATTTTGTAGGATTATCTTTTATTGAAAATTTTGGATGTTATTCTTATTGTTGGACTGGTTTTCTGGAATTTAGGGAGGAGGATCACAAGGTAAAGTACCATTTTCATCACACCATATCAACATAGAATACTACTAATAAGGCTTATGGCTATTGATGATGACCTTGATCACCTGGCTGAGGTAATATTTTGCAAATTTCTCCACTTTAAAATTACTTCCCAATAAACATAGCTTCTTTCTATATTTAATTCATAATCTAATTCATAATCTAGTCTTATGCATGAATGAATTTTTATAAATGACTGATGCTTGACAAGGCACAGTGGCTCACACCAGTAATCCTAGACCTTTGGGAGGCTGAGGTGGACAGATCACTTGAAGCCAGGAGTTTGAGATCAGTCTGGCCAACATAGCAAAACCCTGTTTCTACTATAAATGAAAAAAAAAAAAAAATTAGCTGGGCCTGGTAGCACATGCCTGTAATCCCAGCTACTATAAAGAGCCTGAGGTACAAGAATGGCTTCAACCTGTGAGGAGGAGGTTTCAGTGAGCAGAGATTGTGCTACTGCATTCCAGCAAATTACTGAATGTAGTGCTATCTAACCATGTCAGTAAGCACAGCCCACACTTTAAGATGTGGGGAGTTATGCTATAACTCATATAGGGAGGAATATCCATATATATTATTTGTACTTCTTCTACACTGACAATTTGTGTCTTCTCTGTCTTTCATTACAATTTTCATCTATAGGTTTCTGTGTTTTAAGCTTCTTTTCATATTTTGTTCAAGGAAGGTCCGCTGTTGATAAATTCCCTCAGTTTTAGTTTGTCTGAGCAAGTATGTATCCTTTGCTTTTTAAAGATAATTTCATTAGGTACAGAATAATAAATAAATACTTTCAAAATTTTACTATAGTCTTTCCTTTCTTGCAAAATTTCTGATTAGAAATTCAATGCAATTCTCATGCTTGTTCTTCTAGTCAGTGGCCGCTTTAAAGATTTCCTCATTGTCTTTGGCCTTCTGCAGTTTGAACATGATATGCCTGAGTACAAAAATTATATATATACATATGTATATAAATCTTCCTCGGTATTCTCTGAGCTTCTTGGATCTGTAGTTTTGTGTCTGTCATTAATTTTGCAAAATTCTTGACCATTACTGTTTCCAATATTTATTCTGTTCTGATCTTCTTTTTACTTCTAGTATTCCAATTACATGTACTGGAATTGTTCAACAGTTCTTGGATAATATCATCTATTTTTTCCCTTTTATTTCCCTTTTGTATTTTAGAAAATAGAACAATTTTTGAATACTGTCTCAAAAATTTAAAAATGGCAGAAATAATTTATATTGCCTTATTGAGAAAATGTAAAATAATACACCCAAGTATATGATGAGAACGTTATGATGATAATGGTAAGGGTAATAAAGCAATTACAAAAAAGATGAATTTATTATTTAGATTGACCTTAAAGTTATATGCTTACAAAAGATAATGATACATCTCTTTTAGGTTAAAATATATTGACAAGTGTTTACTCTTATATATTTATTTTTTTTATTCAACAAAATGTTATTTGTGTGTAGTAAAGTGCAGATAATTTGCTCAGGCTAAGAATAAAAATAAAAAATCCATTCCTTGACCCCAACATTGAAGAGCTTAAATATAATGAAGCAAATTTCATAAGAAAGAAAATGAACAGCTAATAAAAAAAAAAGATTTGGAAAACTAAAGTATGCATCTATCATAGAGCATAGAAGAACGATTGCTTTATAATGCTAGGGAATTCAGAGGGAACTTCACAGAAAAGACAGTTATTGAGGAGTTTCTTGGACAATCAGTCAGAATTTTCCCACATGAGGAAGGATAAGAAGATATTATTCTCATAAGCTATAAGATTTGTTAAGAATGAATGAGAAAGACCAGGAAATTATGACATATAAATTGTGTAGGATGTGTACACTGTAGAATATAAGAAGGGGATTATAGGAAGTAAAGCAGACATACAAGCAAGGACCAAGTCATATAAGGCTTTCTAGACTGTGTGTTTGAGGAGATTCAACATGAATATTGCTGAATACATTCCTGGAACCTATAGCAGTATATCTTTTTAAGGGAACTAGTGTTCTCTTATAAGATGTCAGCTGGAGGAAATAAAGATAAAATCATGGAAATGTTAATCTAATAAAGCTACTTATCAAACAAGAGGAACAATAATCAGTAGAACTTGATGTTCCCTTGAATACTTTGGGAGGTTTTAGGCAACTCTGAGTATCCTGATTTCCAAAACCTTGAAATACTTCATTTAAACTGAATTTGCCTTGCCTGAAAACAAAACAAAACAAAATCCAAAAAACAAAAACATTATCTTGTGGACAAAATTACCACTTCTCCTCAAGCCTTCCCCTTGTTAGGAACCACTTAATAATTTACAGTTTCAAACAGAATATCCACCACCAGAAAATATTCACCAACCCTATGCTGACAGCACCTGAAAACATAACTTGTGGGACAAGAAGAAGCATCCTTTTATGTAGTTAAGATGCACACAGAGTAGACAGTGATCATGAAGCCCACAAAAGCACAGCAACCAACAACTTCAGTAAAGTGTGATCCCTAGGATCTCTTGCAGGAGACTGATTGAGAAAGAACATTGGTTGAATTAATTTGGTAAATCAAAACTGTAATCCAGAAAATCTAATATAAATACGATCTTAACACTATAAATTAAAGGCAGGATTTTGAAGCATATTAACTTTTGTAATTATTTCAATACATGTTTGAGAAATAGCAAGATATAACTTTAGAACTAATATTATTAATTGAAACTTTTTCCGTATCTATAATTTAATCTAATGAACAAAACCTCTCCTGTTCCCCAGGCTTAATCATACATGCATATGAATATGAAAAATTCATTTTTTATATTTTAGTGATTAAATGAAATGTATGCAACATTCCAAGCAGATTGGGTCAAACCGTTTCCTTACACAGAGATGTTCTGGAACCAAGTTGGCGGTATTTCTTTTTATGGTATAGAGTGATATAGTTTTATAGTTCATTGCTGAGCATTTCATTAAATCATAAAATAATAACAATTCAATTAAATCATCAAAGAGTATATTATGATAATTCAAATTATGTTTTAACAGTCTTATTACTATACTTAGTTTTAGATAACACACATGATTGGGCCCTAGTAAGATGAGATTTAATTGGCTCATTTCCATAATTGGAACTACCCTATTTAACTTATCATTTTTCTCTTTTAAAAACAAAGTTGTTTCATTTTCACAGAATAAGCTTTCTTAATTAGATATGAGATGTAGAATTTCAGTGGAACTTAAGCATTGGTCTCCATTTATCCCTGAGATTAAACCCAGTGGACCTCCTCCTTAATTTTAATTACTGATCCAGGATGTAATACACGTTTTGCCTCTGGCATTTCTAGATAATTCAACTCTGTCTATCTCTGGGGTTTTAGTATTTAAAAACAAAAAGATAAAGGAGGAGTTCATTCTCCTCACGTGGACATTGAAATAATAAAATCAGTTTATAGATTTCAAAATATGTGACATTTCAAACTTACTTTCTAAAATGCCGTAATGGTTCTGCTAAATCTCTGGTAATTTAGGATTTGTGTGTGTGTGGTATTCTGATTACTGGTGTTGAGACAATATCCTTATTAGCAGCTGCCTGACCAAATTCAGTGTCACTGAGGATCTCAGAGATGCTCTCTGATATGAAATGTGGGGTCCACTTATCAAGAAGAGCAGTAAAGGATGCAGGAAATGTCCTACTGATAATGCTTTATCTGTACACATTGAAAAAGAACTAGGAAAAGTGATCAAAGATGTGTGACAGGATCCCATTAAAAGGTGTGACTCAGTAACTACAGCAAAAGATTCGTGCTAAGGAATATACTGTGTACTGGTATACACCAAAGTGGTCAATTTGGGAATTAAAATAATATATATATCCTTCCTACTTTCTAAATAAAGATATCATAAGTTTTCATAAATGCTACCCCTGTAAACCAAGTAAATACATCAGACATTTCCCCTTCCTAAATTTATTCTCATTTGCCTCACTCAAATGCCCATCTTTTTGTAGATTTGTAATATTTTATTTAGTTACTATTTTATAGCATCGATTTATTGCCTTTTGGTTGAAAGAATGAGTTGTGTGCATTTGCTCAGTTCATTGTAGAATCTTTGGCACTTGGGCTAAAAATTAAATACCCATAGGGTACCACATCTACTGTAGTGGCCCAAAATGCTGCCACACATTTTCATCATCCTCTACCCCCTTAAAGGGTACTTAATTCTCACCCTACTTTAGAATAACATAATACCATACGAACTTATAACTAGGTATGATTCTTAGAGTGATTGATTTTCTTTCTTTTTTTTTAAATTTTAATTTAACTTTTATTTTGAGTTCAAATGTATACGTGCAGGTTTGTTGTATGAGTAAAATTGTGTCATGGGAGTTTTTGTACACATTATTTACTTACCCAGGTATTAGTCATGATCCTTCCTCTCCTCCCACCCTTCAGCCTCTGATGGGCCCCAGTTCTGTTGTTCTCCTTTGTGTTTCCATATGTTCTCCTTATTTAGCTCCCACTTATAAGTGAGAACATGCAGTACCTGGTTTACTGTTCTTACATGTATTTGTTAAAAATAATGCTCTCCAGCTCCATTTTTGTTCCTGCAAAGGACGTTGCAGACTGTACTTTTTTATTGTTATAATTAGCTTTATTTTCTTTATCTCTATATTTTAAATACATTGTGGGTAGATTCAGTATCTGTTACAGTCATCATTTACTCATACCACATAATACATTGTTGTCCTCATAAAACATATTTTAAAAGGATTTATTGGGCTGTATGACCAATAGAGATGTGAGTTAGCAGAAGGAAAATTAGTATATTCTTAAGAACTTACAGTTAAAAATAATTACATGATATAAATGAATTCTGTGATTGCTTTTTTAAATGCTTACAATTTGAGTAATGTTAAAGAATAAAAAAGTATATTACTAGTAAAATGCCTTGATTTCAACAAAATATGTAAACAACTAGTAAAATGTTTTCATTTTGTCACAGGATACTTGAGGTGTTGCATTTATGGCCAGAAACCTCTGTGCCCAGTGGGCCTTTGTCCGGGTTTTGCTTGGGCCTGCTCTGCTTGTTCTGCCCACTTGGCCTGGCAGGCTGTACTCCATTCATGCTACTGGTCTGAATCCCATGCCTGCCAAGGGCGAGCCAGGCACAGAGCATGAGGGGTGTGTGAGCAAGCGAGTGTGAGGTCGAGCCACTGTGCGTACTAGGCACACCAGCTGCAGTGGGGTGGGAAGCTCCAGGTGCCAGCACGGGTGCTGGCTCCCAGCAAGGCTGTAGCTGGACCAGGTAAACCGCAAGCAGCTTCCACAGCTGGCACTGGGTAATATGGTGGTGCCCGGAACTTTGGAGATGTCAGGAACTGCAGAGGGTCAAAGAAGGTGTCAAGCCCTGGCTTGGGAAGCTCCTAAGTCTGGACTCCCAGAAGGGCCTGAGCTCTTCTGTCCTCATCACCTACAACATGGTGAGCAAGGGGTGTGTTCCAGCCCTGTTTCTGTTATAGTCCTTTGACGCCCCCATACAGCAGTCCCCAAGTTCTTGTCCTGCCCCCAGGAAGAATGAGGTAGGCAGAGTGGAGGATGAGCAAGGTGAAGAGGTGATTTATTGAGTGACAGGAGGGCTCAGAGGAGACCCACATGGGATAGCTCTTCTCCACAGACAGATCATCCCATCATCTGCCCTAGTCTGGCTGAGTCCCAAGATTTTTATGGGCTTCAGAGGGGAAGAAGTGTGTGCAGATTGGTCCATGGGCAGTCATAAGCTGCCTGGAAAAAGCACCTTAAGTTCTCACTCTGATCCACAAACTGGCTTCCTGGACCCCGGGCCTGTGGCCATTCCTGGCCTGAAGGTGGGGTTTCACTGTGGACCCACCCCTTTCTGACCAGGACCCTGTCTGTCTCCTACTGTTATTAACCAGTCATGGTGCCCAGGCTGTTTGTGCCAAGGGTGACTGCAGGCCCGTGCCAAGCCGCCCGAGGGCATGCACACCCAGCCAGGTTGTGACAGTGCTTGGGCTCACCCACA